AATGCTATCACCTAGTTTTCTTGAAAAGATTGGTTCAGAGGGAGTTTGCCATTGCCTTCCTCTGAAGCTGAGAGAGTGTGACTAGGCCAACATTACCCAGTGGGTTTGCAGAGCAGGACAGAGACTTGAACTCTGGTCTCTCAGGTTCCTAATCCAAAACATGAACCCCTACACCACACTAGCTCCATCCATAATGACTATTTCCTTAAAAATATTTTACAAAACAGGCTGAATCACATTTTAAAACAATCTAAGAATTTAGCAAGATAATAAAATATAGTAGACGCCAATAATCTCCAGCATATTAAAACAAACTGGGAAAATAAAGTAGTATGTATTTGCATTGTGCCTTATTTTAGGTCTAAGACATGACAGCTGAGGTGTGGTGGCAGTCTCATTGCAGAAAATGCACTAGCTAGGGTCCTAAGATATGTGGGTAAGGCAAGATGAGAAGAAAGATTTTTTCCCTCATTATTATTATATTTATTTATTTATTTTATGACCTGCTTTTTCACCACAGTTGGAACACAAAGCAGCTTACAAGTTAAAAATTCACATAACTCATATGAAGTTCCTTCTTGTTGTTGTGTGCCTTCAAGGCATTTTCAATTTATGGCAACTCTAAGGCAAATCTATCATGGGGTTTTCTTGGCAGGATTTGTGCAGAGGAGATTTGCCATTGTCTTCTCCTGAGGTTGAGAGCATGTGACTTGTCCAAGGTCACCCAGTGGGTTTCCATAGCCGAGCAGGGACTCGGACCCTGGTCTCCAGATTCTTAGTTCAACACTCCAACCATTATGCGACACTGGCTCTCTATGAAGTTCCTTCAGTTGTCTTATTTAGTCTCCAAGATTATACCAAGGCCCTAATCTTTAAAAACTGAGGCTGCATCCACACTGCAGAAATAATCTCAGTGTCACCACTGGCTACGGACATTATGGGGCATGGATGTCTATACAGAATATCCCGATGGTACTCAAGCAAGTCAAAGGGACTTGTTATATAGAGGCAACCTCTCTTACAATTGGCCCTCCATATCCACTGATTATGATTTATGGATTCAACTATCCATGCCTTGAAAATATTCCAAAAACTATAAATTCCGAAAAGCAAACCTAGATTTTTGCCACTTTATGTAAGGGACACCATTTTACTACACCATTGTATTTAATAACTTTTTAAGGGGGGGGGGTTAGATTTTACTCTTGTATGTTATAATTTATTATTGTTAGCCACCCCAATTGATCTCAAAGGGGTGGGATATAAATACATTTTATTTATTATTATTATTATTATTATTATTATTATTATTATTATTATTATTATTATTATTATTATGGGGCTTGAGCATCCACAGATTTTGTTATCCACGGAGACTCCTGTAGTCAAACCCCAGCAGATACCAAGGGCCCACTGTATTCATGTTTGAGATGGTATACTGTACCTTCATCCAAAAACTGGATTAAATAGCAGCATTTTAAAAAGCAGCAGTAAAGTATTGGAAAACACAGCTGTGTATGCCACACCATCAGTCCTCTGCATCCTTAAACTAAGGTGCCATGTTTAGATGCAGTGAAGGGCATCGTCCCATCAAAAGCATTAATGCACAATTTAATTTCTAATTAAGCCAGCTTTCATGTGTGGAAGGGAGGGTTGGTTGAGCACCATCATGGCCTTCACTTCAGGCAGCAAAAAGTTTTGGGCAGGTGGCCTGGTGTGGAGAAATGTTTTCATTGACCCTCGGTATGCAACACATTAGACACAGTGTTGACCTGCAGGCTTTAAGGCATAAAGTCCACATTGGAAGTGCAGGAGTAATGGGAGATGCAACCTAAAAGAGAAGGGAAATGAAATCTAATAATTCTTGTAGGCTGATGTATGTGATTTTCTCAGATATTATGAACAAAGCAGAAATTGGGTTAGGGTTATGGACTGTCCTCCGGCCTCAAGCCTTCCTAATGCCAAACCAGGCAATCCATAAACATGAATCTACCAAGTTTTTCTGATTAGAATTAGTAGTAGTCCATAGTAGTCTATTTGTAGTAGTAGTCCATAACCACAGAACAGAACTTGTAAAAGTTCCTTTTTGACTATGACTCTCAAAATACCCCAGCCATTTGGCCATTAGCTTGGGAAAGTTCCTTTTTTTGACAATTCCCATAATCCTCGTAGTCTGCCACAACTGGTGCCCCCAGTGTCAAAAAGACAGGGATTCACTCCAGATTTCAATCTGAAGTTTAGGGGAGCTATCCAAGGTTCTGGGAGGAGGCAAGATTCAGCATTTTAGGTAATTAATGTTCTAAGTAAGACCTGAATGGATTTGTCCCAGTCACTGACACGAGTTTTCAGTTTCCACTGGGTACAGATGAAAAAATTAACTTTTTTGAGTTCCACCACAGACGTTGAAGGAAACTTAGGAGATCAGGATCCTATAGCACGTATACATGGAGACATATAAAATGACTTTTAAAAAATGTTTTGCAATGTTAAGTTGATTTAATATATGCTTAAAATGGAATGAGAGAGAGGAAGAGAGGAGAAATTAGGTAACATCAATAGCAAAGCAAAACCTTTCAAATTAAACTATCCATGTTGCAATAAAGGTTATTTGTTGGGAACTACAATTCCCAGTATGCCCTAGGAGAGAAGCTTGAGTTATACCAGCCTGTGCCCAACATAAATTCCCAAATATGGAAATGGATTCAATTCTGACAGTTGCTAACATTTAAGACAATCTTCCCTTGTTGAGAATGAAGAAGAGGAAGAGAAGAAGTAAAGATAAGGTAAGCCTGCAACCTGCAAACTTTCTGCCTGGAAGATGACCAAGTCTATTTGTTTACAGGGAGGATGGAAAGCACAGTTGCACTGAATATTGCTTGCTTTGGGAAAAAATTATTTTTATATATATATATATATATTAAAGCTGCTTTCTTTAGGATGCAAATACAACTACAGGAAATAGAAAAGGCCATAAAATCAATTACATCCTGGTTTTTAACTAAGCAGTTTCCAATAAGGAACAAGAGAATAAAAACAGCACCTATTTCAACTCTTGCTAAACAGCAAAATGTTAGCTCATAGATTTCAAAACCAGGAGCACTATTTAAGGCTTTCCAGTTCTATATGCAATTTCAGATAGTATTATTTTCAAGTAAATATGTGCAAGATTTCAATATATATCCCACTGAATTTAGGGAGAGATGCCGCTATCATGCATACTATCAGTCGGCTCTTTCAGTAAAATCGGCAGGCTTTTAAAATGGTTGACATTAGCTAGACCATGCTTACATTTTATTTTAACATTAAGGACACAAATAGAACATGTGCCAGTAAGAAAACCTTATAAGGCAGCTATTTTTCATGAAGCTGTAACATTTTCCACAGAAACAAATAATTATGTGAGAACCCAAGCTTGAAAATACTTATGTTCATATAATACAATTGTGGCATTAAATGGTAAAACCTTTTTGTTGTCCAACTTAAGGCAGCGTCATTTAATACATTTTAATCCTCACCCCTTCCCTCAAAAGAGTAGAGCTCAAGCTAACAAACCCAACTAAAAAAATAAAAAAAATAAAAAATAAATCCATTATAATTGGCAAAATAATCAATAGACGTCAGAACAGTTTAAAGAGCCTGTTCCAAAAGATACACTTTCACATTTTCCCTAAAAGTAACAAGATTGGGAATTGATCACAACCCTGGCAGAAATGCATTCCACTATATCTGGGAATATCAGAAAAGAAAGTTCTATCAAATCCCCAGAGTCTGGAAATTTAGCCACAGTAACAACTGGGGCATGAGCACTTTTGAGTTTTGTTGTGTTTACGTACACACTGCAATTTGTCAAGGACAATTCCGATTAAGCCTCTGTCATCCCACTTTTTCAGCTGCTTTGAAAATGTCCCAGTTTCTTTCTCTACCTCCCACATTCCCCCTTTCTCTGCAGCTTACTTTGGTTACTTCAAACTGACTTCAAAGTGCAAAAGCAGTTTGTACCGAATTAACTCAGCTGGAGGGGCAAGAAAGTGAGGTGGGATCCTGCCCTTTCCAGTTGATTCAGATGAAAAGCAAACTGATGCAGCCTCTTCTACCCTGTGTGTTCTTCCTCATTAATAATGTTTGCCATCTTTACCACACTTGGCCACATGTCTCAGTTTTCATCAGTGAAATCCCGGTCCTCTGGGAGGAATCTGCTGCAGCCTCAAAAATCTAGGCTTGC